TCATAAGCTGTACCTAAAACCCTTATGACTTTAGCGAATTGACATCAAGGAACTTCAATCACTTTATTGAATCATGAAAATGGATGACGACCAGTATCTTCTGCCTGGCGCTTAACATTCATAAAGGTCTAAATTTTTACCTGAGTCTTTAGCTTTTAACATTTAATCTTCATTCAACGCTACCATTACCTTTACTTGCTTTTTATTATTGAATTCTCACAGAATACTAATTAAATTACTTATTAAACAATTAAATCTAATTAAATTACTTTAGCACATGATATCGAGAATATTAAATTTATCTACCTTATGCTCAAAAAGTATCCGGATTTTGTTGTTTGTTAACTACTCCTTAAGTAATAGACTTTTTTCAAAAATTTTTGTTATGTTGGTACACTCTTTCTTGACATATGGTACAAATTTGAGCGCCATCTGTCAATTAGTTTGTTTACAGCAGCTGTTAATGTGAGACTACCTCAAGTGCATTTAGCGATTTTTACTATGGAAAATTCTTGTTCTACGCGATACTTTTTGAGCAGAAGGTACATGTTTTTGTAGGTTTATTTATTCATCGATAAGGATGTACCCGAGAGTAACATTTAGATTCCAAAAATTCGGTTGATTTGTAGGAAATGCCTTACATACTTCCTTTGATATAAAAAAGAAAGCTTCTTTTTAGAAGTAAAGTATGTCGAAAATTTATTTTTGCGGCTAAAATTCTTTTTTGGTTATGCATCGGTAAACGTAATTCCGAGAGGGTAAAAAGTTTTACTAACATGAAACCCACTAACTAATGAAACCATATCTTAACAATTAAGACCACCATTTAGACAAAAGTGACGTTTCATATAAAGTAAAAAAAATTTTGGTCTTCAAATCTTTTCAAACCATTTCATTAGACTAAAAAACACTATGCATGTATCTAAGCAGCAATTAAATCTTGATTAGATTTAGGAAAACAAAGGCAGCAACAAATTATTCCATAGATTTAATAAAAATTTATATTAAAAATTGAATACACAATCTAATAACAATATCTTAAATTCTTTTATAGTAAAATTTTATTAAAAATTAATAAAAGTGCTTCAATGCAGCAATATGGAAGGAACAAATTGAGCATGAGCTAAAACTGTATGAGAAAAGTTGGGATATATCTATCATATTAAGTTTTGAAACAGTTTAGTAAAAATTATCCGTTTTGGTACGATATTCCTACTTACAGGGATTTGATGGATTAAATATGTGAGTGTATATTATGTGAATGTAAAGTTTGTTTTGACTTTGGGAGAGGACTGTAGTGCCAAATAAGAAGAATGCGACGACTTGATACGTTAAAATAGAAAACTTGTGTCAAGTCTCATATGTAATAGCAATATTTGCAGGAATAAGGATCAGAGTGATGGAAATCAAAATATATTGATTTTTCGTTAAACTTGCTAGTGTTTTTTCGTATACAAATTTTATTCTATTTGAAAGGATAGAAGCAAAACCATCGTTTAAATGCACGAATGATTTTATTTTGTAGTACATTTGTAGTGTTTTTTGCTGAGAAGTGTTTGAAATAATGTGCTGCAGTGCAGGATGTGTAATAGTAAGCGACTTCGCACCAAGTATGATGTGTAATACCCATGTATAGCTTATAATTATCAGAAAAAAGTTAATAGAGTGTCATTCAAGACTTAATAGAGTGTCATTCAAGGGAGAAAATCCATGAATGACACTCTGCACCTTTCAATGACACGCAACTAACATGTTGGTGTGTTCCCCAAAAATTTTTATGAGCATATCATTCAGCTTCTCGCCAATATGTTGTAAATGATAGTCTGTCACCCAAAAACTTGCATTCGTTATTCAAGAGCATATTTTTGCGTGGTTGCACTAACACACTTACAGAATGCGAAACACACTTACAGCGTGCGCAAATACTCTTATTCTTAAAAAATTTTGCTTGAATAACAACTATTGAAAGTGAGCACGTTCAAGTTTGGTCGCTAGAATAAATTTGAGCAAGATAGAGCGCAACTTGAATGAGATTCAAAAATGATAGTCAGCACCGCGCTTAAGAGATCATAAAAAAGATGACGAATAAGAAAGAGATAGGTAGAGAGAAATACGGAGAGAGAAATAGGGAGCGAGACGGAGAAAAGAGAGTGATAGCAAGATATGGTTAATAACTCTTTCAAATAAATTAGACGTTCAACGAAAAAGAAATAGTTTCCTGAAAAAATATACGCTCATCAAGCAAGAATTCTTCCTCTCTTAATAAGCTAGCGGTTGTTATTTAAAATCTGTATTATTCGCATTTTAATTTTTTATAGCCTTTTTTGTAAAATATGTTTAAAGGTTGTTTCTGACTTCTACACCGTTTATTCATGTATCACTTTTAGCACTTTAAGGTATATTGCAAATTAAAAAGGACTTATTGAAGTAAATTTTATTCGCAAAATTCGCAAAAATCTTAATTTCATCTTCGTTTCAGCGAAATTAAGTTGTTTTTTCCATACAAAATTCAGTTTTAAGATTAGAACTAATTTAAGGAGATTTGCATGGCTGAAATTCATTAAAGCTAATAAAACTACTGAATGCCGTCCTTCATAGTTATAATAATAAACTTTTAAAATTTCCCAAATACAAATGGCGGTTGTAGCAAGTAATTTTTAACATTCGATTTCATTTTTACGAAATTAAGCAAATTTGGCTGTCTAAACAATGAAATACATAACTTCATGTTGTTCATATTCATATATATAAGTACATATACGTAGTTCTGAACTGAAAATGTCCACTATTATATCAAATACCTAACATTTGTTAATATTGGCCTTTAATATGTTTGTCACTTTCAATTGATAATTGAAAAATTCATCAATTAAATGCATAAAGGATGTTATATTATGTTTTCATTGCAGCTAAAACTTTTTAATAGTATGTTTTCACCGCTTACTTAGTAAGTATAATAACACTTTCTCATGTAGGTGGTTTTGCTCATTATAACTGCTAATGAGGATGATTTGCCATACAAAGTGATTTAATATAAATGAGCTCATTATCAATAAATCAGCTCATTTAAAGCCAAAAATGTCGAATGCAACGTGCTTAACGAATAAACAACTCGCATTATATTGGCGCCAAATCTTAAAACAGGTCTATTGTGAATGATTTTTGAGAAAAAATAGTAAATTTCAGTCAGATGACAAAGTTTCTTCATTATTTGTAACTGTTCGAGTGTTGATGAGTAAATTAAAATATTTTAAAAAAGTAATTTTTTAATAAAATTTGTGAAAATGACGAACAGGTTAGTAATTGTGAAGAAGTCATTCGTTAATTATATATTAAGGAATGTGTAATTTCTGTATTATGTTCAGCAAAAAATGCAATGCATGAATAATCACAAAAAAAAATTATTGTAATAGTAGCAAAAAGTAATAGGACAATTGCCAGGACAATTGGAATATTCGTTAAAGTTGCAATGAAGGTTCACAATAGATCACTTATTGCTCTAGTAATATTTTTTTTTTGAAGTAGCTAAAATGTTTAGTAACTTCACAACTAGTTGCTTAGAGAGAGAAAGTAGTGTTGTTGTTTTGCGTACATTTTAGCAACTTTCTGTTTTTTGACACACGTAAATGCAGCCGAAAGCACCTTGTATTAAATACTGCTCATTTGGCATTAACTAGTGATGTTAGAAGTTTGAAAATCATGTAACGAATTTATTGAAAATCGCGTATTGCCTTCTGAAAAGCTAAAGCTTTCAAAAATGTCAAACATTTGGTCAATGCGCTGCTCGCTTTGTGTCCTCCTTATTTCACTATTTTTCTCCGTTATTATGGACAAACCCAGAAAAAATGTGTTTATATATAAATTTAAAGGCAATATAAGGCCTTTCCTTTTGTAAACATATTACAAAAGAACAACTGCTTATTTTAAAAATAACTTATGAAACAACAACACTGTTGGCTTATTTAGTCCAACCTTCTTGAAATCGCTTAACTAATAAGTAGCTCAAATCACATGGTTGCCAGTACCATAAATTCGTCTATTGGACAAGATTTTTAGAAGTACATACGAAGTTAATTATTCGTATTTCGTGTCGTCATTGTTCGTAAAAAATACTTTATTTTTTCTATTTATTATTTTATTGTAAAAAGGCATGAAAAACTATATTTTATTCACAATCATGTAAAAAAAAATATTCTCACCAATAATTGCAAAAAATTATTATTCTTGTTCGAAATCTTAACTTCAAGTTTTATTACAAGTTTTGCATATGTAACCCTAACAAAATTTCCATTTTGTCCAGAGTTGCCATGAAACGTAGTGCTTATTTTATTTGTTCTTTTGCGACGTGCTTACAAAAGAAAAGGCCAATAAATGCTTACTAATAACTTTTTTGTGTCATACATTTAATAATTTCTCTACTTGTGATTTATTTACTGATTTAGACAGTAACGCCAAGTTTTTTTTTTTAACAAAAAGTTATTCTATTGGAGCATACATGTCGAAATGTACACACCTTATATAAAACAGATAAAATCGTTGAACGGTTTAAAGTCGGTATAAAAGGTCTGTTCCACTCAAGTAAAGTACAAATTGAGAGCGGTTCACAAATAAACTGCCAAATTACGCTCTTTACACAGATTTTCAAGGGAACAGCTTTGTGTAAAGTCTGGTGATAACACCAGTGCCGCCCAGATAAACAGTACTAAAATTGAAATTTAAACCAAAACAGCTGATTCACGCATTTTCAAATTTCGCAGGCATGTGTTACTTAAAGTTACTACGAGTACCTCATAGAACAGACCTGAATTTTCTTAAAAATTTATAAAAGTGCAATTGTGAACTGTCAATTCAGTAAAAAGCAGCATAATATGTAATATCAATATTTTAAATATATTAACCTAGATTAAAATTAAAAATATCATGTGAACATAGTTAACATTTTTTTTTTTGATAAGTCAAAGAATATATAAATTTTTGTATTTTCATTTTATGTTGAAATGGAATAACTTCGTTTTAATATTATTGTGTTGGCAGTGCTAGGATAGCGGCTGGTGAGAGTTCGCTGTGCAACGAAAAAAGAAACGAAATTGAGAAATTGTGATAGAAAAAAACCATCCGCAAACTGTCAAAAGAAAATTTAGTGCGCTGAAGATTTTTGGGTACTTGAAAAAGAAGACTCTATTAAAGGGCAGTTGAGCTGCAACAGGCAATGGGCAGTAATTGGAGTTGCTTTAGAGTTTAAGTTCAAGAATTTTAAATTTTCGATAAATGCAAAAGACTAAAATAAACAGTGCGACCACACCTGAGCAAGCTTAACGCGAGGATACTGATAACCAAACAACAATCTTGTGATGCTTTATTATTTAATGAGACGCACATAAAGTAGCGAAGTGCATTAAACATAATTTTGTATAGTAGAATATTTCAGTGAAGGTTTGTGCTTAATTTGCAATCAATTAAATATGTTAATTTTCTTTTATACGTTTTGTTACAGTGCTAGTTACAGTGCTTTATAATCTAAAACACTTGTGTATTTTTACCAAATAATTCCCGATTATATTGTGTACGTGTGTAAAGTAAATTATTGTGTTTAATTATGGAATCGGCCTGTTCATTTCATCCTTGCGATGAAGCCGTTATTGCCACCAACGACGACGCCAGCGATTGCAAACGCTGTGCTGTGCGTTTAGGATACTGGAAGGATGACTATATTGGCTATTTTGTACGCAATCAGGATCGCAAGGCGCCGGAGATAAATCGTGGCTATTTTGCAAGAGTCAAGGGCGTCGAAATGTGCATAGAAAAGTTCCTGAAGGTCAGTATGTAAAATTGGTTTTTTGTTTTTGTTATCTTTTCATTGCTGTGAATGACTGAAGGTTGACTAGAGAACGTGCAAATTTGTCTAAAAATAATAAAACGAACAGCTGAGGTGTTGACACTGTGCAGGCAAGTGGGTGGTATATGGTATATGTTGGGCGGCGCACTTCCTGGTTGTAAATTTGAGTATAGCCAATGGACTGAGGGTGGCTAATTGACATTGAATATGTACATCCTGTTGCACATGATTCGTTGCAATTTTGTTGCACTTTTACAGCATATTTGATACTCAATCTATTTTGGTTTTTTGTTTGCCGTTTTTTACAAAGAGCAAATTTTCCATAAAATCCAATTTCAAATTGATTTGCACAGAAGCAGTGAACTGCTATTGCTAAAGCCTTTCCGATTAACATTTTTAATTGAATTTTCGTCAAAATGAATAGAAAGTCAAACTTTCAATAGTCAAAAAAGAAATATTAATTTCAAAATTCGTAGAAATAAAATCACTTACATGTAGGCAATTCTCCCCAATTGAACCAATTTTTCCATATTAAAGACAAACTGCAAGCCTTTTCCACTACAACGAATTGAAGCAAACTTGTAAAAACATAAAAAAATAATTATTTAAAATTATTTGATATTTAATGATAAATAGAGCAAAATCCCGAAATCCGTCACTGCGTCGTAGTTTACCAACGAATTTCAGTATTCTGAGGTACTTTTTCCACAATGCTATATCGGTTTAAAGAAAGAAAGCAGAATATCGGTTTCATCGGGTTTCAAAGTGATTACTATTTAAAATTTAAACTTTTTTTATATATATTTGATATAAATCAAAACCGATCGATTAAGTCTTTGATAGTTATGAAATGTACTAATACGTTTTTTAAAGACATGACTGTAAATTATTACAATAGGTCTGTTCCACAAGTTACTACTCGTAGTAACTTTGAGTACCACTGTGTATACACAAGTGCGTTCCACCAGCAAATCTTCGTGTAAATTTTACTTGAGTTTTATTACGAGCAGCTCGTGGAACAGACCTATTATGTAGTAGTATTATATTCAAATCTCTAACTGACTCTATTTTTATAAATAATATGCAATATATTTTTTATTACTTTTGTATCAAAACCTATAGTTTATGTGAAAGTTTGATGGAATAATCCCATTTTTATAAAAATTTTTAATATAAATTAAAATGTTATATAAATAATAGATTTTACTAAAAAAAACTTATGTGTGAACTATCACTTTATGTTAAAGATAGGTAAGTAAGTAAAACAAAAGGAACACTAAACTCCATCAATTGGTTAATAAACCATTTGAAGTCTTGTAATTTTAGTAAAAGTGTTAATGTGTTTTAGAGACAAATTTATAAAATTAAGTAAATATTAGACCCATTTCTTTGCTAGAAATGAAATTGCGTAAGTTAAAGTAATTAAGACTGGATTAGATTTTATGAATAGTGCACTGGACCCATTGTTGATTTGTCCGCATGGACCAATATAGTCGTCAAATACTATAACCCGATTATTTCTCTTCTCAATTAATAGATAACTATAACTAGTTATAACTAGTCTCGTTGAAACCAAAACCAGTCCAAAAGTATGTTTAACCAGACGTTGAAAAATAAATCACTGCTAATAGTTATGTTCTTAATACTTCTTATGATTTTATTACTCTTGTCTTAATATAATAATAGTAGTACGGTCGAAACATGCTATCAATCCATAAATAGTATGTTTAGTATTCTTGCATTTCCATGGGCGCATCAATAGTTGATAGACCGTCTTTGAGTCTTGTTTGCTTCAAATTTGTCCATTTTTTATTCACTAAACTATTGGGATAAAAGTAAAAATCATAGCTTTCGGGACGTAGTACTATAGAAACATTTGTTTCTGCATATTTAATTTTGAGATATAATTATAAATAATTATTATTCCTGCTAAACATGATTTAATAAATGGATAGTGGTATCTAATAAGCTTATTAACTGGTTTTATCCTACAGCTGGTTTATGATTTCGTTCTAATATAACACACCAAGTGAATTTGTTAATGAACTTTCACAGCAAATTAACAAAACTTCGACTTCGAACAAACAAGTCGCCAAGTACAGATTTAGGTCAGTTAACTAATGAACACCGACTCTGAGGTTCATATGACAGGGTATGAGTTTAACCATTAGTACTTGCTTTAAAGTATATTAGTACTTTAAAGTATAAATTGCATAATAAACATACAAGATGTTGGTGATTTATAGTTGTCATGGTACTGTACTGGAATTCATCTTCATGGTTTCTATTAAGAAGCTTTTCAACATTTATTTTCAGCTACTAAATATATGTTACTCGTTATTCACTAATTTCTACCACAGCAGGGTTCTCAATGGGCCCCCCTTAATACCTGTCGGGAAAAAGTCACTTTCCACGTGCAGCAAGAACTGCCCAAGCTTAATTGAATGCAGGATATAGCCAGTTGTAGATTAAAGTTATCTTGTTATTTGTTTCACCTAATAATATTGATATATATAACCAAACTTTCGGACATCTTAATGTACCTAATTTTCGGTATGGTGACCGGATACTACCTAACATCATATTTGTGTTATTGTCCTAAGTACGAATTAATAGTCTTTATAGTTGTAAATAATTGTTAGCTTCATTATCTTTTCCATCTATCTTTTCTTTTATATTTTTGTTTTCATTCGAAAAATTCGTAACGAAGAAACTATCCACATATTATGAATATATAAATATAAAACACTAGTATATCAGGTTGTCATAATTCAAAGTACATTTAACACATTTTATTCATTTATTTTTGTATTTCTATTGTCTTTCAGAAAACCAACGGGAATTGCCAAATTATAAACTTAGGCTGCGGTTTTGACACACTCTACTTTAGACTACGCGATTCAGCTCATCAAGTGAAAAATTTCATCGAACTTGATTTTCCCACAGTTACAGCACGTAAATGTTATGCTATCAAAAGGAACAAAGCGCTATTGGCTAAAATCCACGATGAAGATGGAGAAGTACGCTTGAGTCCGACTGATTTGCATGGTCCTAGTTACCATCTCATGGGTGCCGATCTTAGAAACTTAGATGAAATCGATAATAAATTTCAACAAGCTGAAATCGATTACACATTACCGACAATATTTTTGGCCGAGTGTGTTCTTGTCTATATAGAAGCGCAAAATTGTAAAAATCTTCTTAATTGGATTTCTAATAAATTCACAACAGCCGTATTTGTCAATTACGAACAGGTGAGTCCACATTTTTTACACACTTGTTTATCTAAATCAGAAACTACTAAATAAGCTCATATATTTGGTTAATTTCTAGTTCAGTAATTGGTTTTTGGTTTAAATTAATGTTTCATCTTATCTTTATCAAGATGTTTACGAAATGACGCTAATATCTGCAGATGAATTCATGCCAATTCTTGACGATTGTGCTTATTCATTATATATAATTTATTAAACATGCTATTTTTGGTCACATAATACCTTATCGAACTCAAAGTTCAGACTTATTAAAAACCTATAATAACTGTGTTTTATAGACACAAATTTACCACATATACTTCTTAAAACTAAAATTCTTTATTTTGATTGGCTCTGTGACCTACATGATGGCTGCTGTTCCTTAAAAATTCCTCCAAATCGGGTTTAAGAAAATAATTTAAATAATCTGTTAACATGGCTTTAATCTGCAGGTTTTATTTTCATCTGAAAATAAGAAATTCTCAACGGCTAAATAATGAGCACAGATGAGCTAGATAGACTGGATGCATATGGAAACTCTTGTTCCAATTCCTGTCCTTGCCAGTCACAGCCCAAGGCTGATTTATGACATTTTTTGCGACAGGCAAATACAAAGTGAGTTCATACTTTCTTAGCTGCTGTGGCAGCTACATGATTATTTTACTCCAAATGTAGAACCTCTGCCTTGGTACATAAAAACAAATCAGAAGTGTTGGTAAATATCTGTTTTAACAGATCATTAGAGTATACGGCATGGGGCCAAACTCGGCTTATTCTGTAGTATCTTCTGTGGGACATATCTATCGACGCTCGAGGAAAAGACATCACTACACCTGTTGTGTCTTGTGATGAACCTATTTGTGACCGTTGATAGCTGAATACCTCACAGTTCCTTGAAGTGTTACAAGAATATATTTTTTTCTAACTCTGAATCTCTTCTCGCAATCAAAAATGGAAGAACTGGTTTTTTTTTTTTTTGATATAAGAGTCTATTATTTTTATTATTTTTTTATACAATATATATTCACAAATAAAAAAAACTATTAAAAACATTAAAATTCCTATAAATGGAAGAACGTTCAACGTTACCAAATTGGCTTCGTTGATATACTAAAGGATTTAATCAACGTTACCGACAAGGCTTCTTCACCAAAAAAAAAACCACGTTGGTATACTGGGAAGCCAGTCAACGTTACCGATAAAGCCACATTGGTGGTATTTAGACTAATCTAAATACCTTGTTGAAATGCTGTCGTTGAATCCTCGGTGCTATCTGCTTTGGTAAGCGTTGTGTTGCGAAGTGTTCTTCAGTTCAGTTTTTGCCACCTTTTATATGCAAATCTTGTTACGGGACTTCTGGTTTCAGTACTCCTTTGTACTCTGTGTAGCACCTCTTGAATTTGTTCTTGCCTGCCAAATCATTCTATTGTCACCGAACTGATTTGTTAGTGTTCTTCTTCAATTGCAAAAACACCACAAATGATCTAGCAGTGCTCCAGTGCATTGGTTTATCAACAAAATTTCTATACTGTTCCAACGAGAAATGGTTAGTGTTATTGATAAAAAAAAAACTACACCCAAGAAAATGGCTGGTAAAAATAAATTTATTTAAAATTATTAATTAAATACATAAATTTATTGTGGTGACAGCTGAAATTAATAAAGGCGTCGCAGTATGTTATGTATATATAGCTTTTGGGTGCCCCTTTCCTTAACACATTCACCAATATTTCCGGGATTAACATTTTGTAGACACGCTCATTAATCAATGTTTACGGCTAGTGCTAACATGTTCATTCTTCTACCCACTATCACGAGAAATTGTGAAATCGAAACGACTGTTTTAGCTAGTTGAGGAGGATTTGTTCCTTCCTCCATTTCACTTAACCTAATCTAGACTATACTTCTCCTAAAATCAATCAATATTGATAAATTGTTTGGACTACAAATGATCAAACGATCGATATATTCTAGCGCATAATAGATCAATCATTTGATTAATTAAATTTTAATTATATACATAAATATGTATATACATTTATGTATATATTTATATATTATTTTATTGTTTTAAATAATTTTAAAACAAACTAAATAGACTTAAAGAGTGTAAGATAAAAATTCAATGTCTATATATCAATTAGGTAAATATGAAGGACAGATTTGGTGAAGTAATGCTGAACAATCTGCGCAGTCGTGGCTGTAGTTTAGCTGGAGTTGAGTCATGTATATCATTGGATACACAAGTTAATCGATTTTTGGAATGCGGCTGGAGTGGTAGCCGTGCATGGGATATGGTTCAAGTATATCAAAGCATCTCGCCAGCTGAACGTCATCGCATCGAAAGATTAGAAATGTTAGATGAGGGCGAACTGTTATTGCAACTATTTCAGCATTACTGCCTTGTAGTGGCTTGGATAGGTGAACTATTTCAGGACATTGAAATAACGTATGTTAAAAATTAAAACTATTTATTTTCATAAAAAAAACTTAACTTAATATTAATAATAATATTTATTGTTTTAGTGTTGAAAAGCGCATGTCTTCGCTGAACATCGATTAAAGGCTGAACAAATTTATTAATGGAGTGATGTTGATCCATTAAAATCGTCGTTATGGTTTCCATTGAATTGGTCAGATATAGTTATAGTTTTTCGAAAATAATGAAGTGGATGACGGTTTACTAATATAAATTCAAATAAATTTGAAAAAAAATTTTTTTTTGTTGGCAACTTAAATTTAAAAATATCGTAATAAAATTATTCAGTGTTAAATGTGCTTTTTTAATGAGCAGCGTCGATTTTATTTTTATATTTGTAATACCAAAATATATATTTTATATATATTTTTGTTTTTTGTTTTTGCTTATCATTATATATTAATGTGATTTTAATATTATATTTGTTATCTCTTTATGAAATTGTATATTCAAAATGAAGCTCAAAGTTATTTCTAAAGAGTTGGCATATATTTAAGATATCAATATGTTTATGAGTTGTAAACTTTATAAAACACATAACAAATAGAAAAACTATTAAAATTTAATTATTACACAAAAGTCACATATTTTCTATAATTTTATAATTAAACATTTTAATAATAGCAAAAAATAATAACAAATTGGTCATTAAATTAAACAATATATATTAAAAATTATTTTATTCTTACAATTATATCTTGTTGAAAATTATATTTATTTACCTATATTTTTTTATTGCTTTTTTTCTTGAGATTATATTAAAAATTAAAAAATTGTAAAATATATGAACAAACTAATTTGTTACCAATTTTATATAAGTTATATGGCCCTATGTTTCTAAATAAAATCATGAAATACACAGTATATATACATATGGAGATGTGTATTTATAAACTATGCATTATATATTAAAAATATTTGTGGTTATTTATATACTCGAGTTATTTTCTGTATATATAAATATTTACTTTATGCATACGTATGTATATACATCTTGTGTTGATGGTATGTCGGTGATAAAAAATTATTGATAATAAATTATTAAAAAATTACATAGTTTGAAAAACGAAGTTGCAATATTTTTTTTTATATATATGCATAGACGTATATATAAAAAATTTTTAGTATCAGTGATAAAATATTTTTGTCAGGATTTTTTTTCATATACTCATTGTTAAAAAGTTACTTAATTATTTCGAAAGAAAAAATGGTTGCAATATTTTTTTTATATAAATTTGCTTTGTTTATATTTAATTTTTAATCATTGTCTAACAATGCAAAAACTTTTTAAATTGTTATCTATTACTATTTGTTAATTATATTTATCAATATCTGAAAAATTTATTTATATCAAATTGTATAAATACATGTTTATTTAATATTTTTAAGTTTTCTTAAAATCGTTTTAAAAATACTTGTATTAAATATTAAAAATATTCCACATCAATTAAAAAATATATTTTATCTTCAATATAGCACATTGTAAAATAAACAAATGTAGCTTTTTTTAATTTTATAAAAATTTATACTGAATAATTTTAGTATAATAATGATTATATATTTTCAAAAATTTAAATTTTGTAAAATAATTAATGTATATATATTATTGTTATATATATAAAGAGCGTTTCCTAGTTACCACTTAGAGTTATAAGGTAATTCCTTGTTCAAAGAAACAAAGAAAATCGTACGAGAAGGCGGAACCATTTTTAATATTTACCAATATCTACTCGAAATGTACCTTAATTCAGAAACACTAAATATTTTAAAAATTGTCTGTAATTCTTTATGTTTATATAAAGCTCATACTTTTTTGATTTGTTTAAATTTATAAATTTATATAAAAAATTTTTGTTGTACTTTATAAAATTTTGTTATATTTACAAAGTCAAACTTATAAACTGTGATTTTTTTTTTGTTAAACTTTTTCCCCACAAAGCATAAGAAAATTATTATATATTTTTTAAAATTGTTTGAAATATGACCAAGTAAGCTTTTGATACCATATAAACCATATTATATGTATATACTTATAAAGTAAAAATTCTCTCACTTAAGAGGTGTGGCGAAAAGCCTTTAATTGTTTCTAGGTAAGATTAGACTTTAGGTTTCTAAGAGTTCTTTGACATTATCAAACAACAGTGTTCCAAGAATTATAGCTTTGCTTCTAACCAAGGCTGAACATCAACACAATATGTGGGCGCTTGATACTTTTTCATCTGAACAGAGGTGGTAAATATCTTCAATTAGAACTTTTAAGTCCCGATAATATCTTGCCTATTAAGCACTGATCGATACAATTTCGCCGGTTCAGTTCTACTCAAATTAATTGGTTTCCTAGTTTTAGATGGGGTTATAAATAGTCATATTCATTTAGTCTTTACACAAGTTACGTTTTCCCAACTGAATTCTACTTTTTGAAGCAAAGAGAGAATTTATATAGTCTTACATATAGCATAGTATTGATTACCCTCTAAATATATACAGAATAACTAATAAAGTTCATGGCTGCGCCTTTCATAGGTTTATGAATTGGTAGATTTGTTTTGTGTTGGCATAAGTTGCTTCAGTTGTGAGACAACTGTTTGCTTTTTTATAGAAAGAGGAGATTTACATAGATTTACAGGTATTGATATGATGAACGTAACTAAGCAATTCATGGCTGTGGTTTTCAGTGCTAACTGGTCCGCTATACAGTTGCTACGGTAGTCATTATATCTTGGAATCCGCATGGTGGATACGTTATTGTGTCTATTCATCTTGTTTAGATTTATAATACAGGACAGAACAATTAAAATTTTGATATTTGGAGAGTGTAAGACTATTATGGCTGCTTTGATGTCAGTAAAAAATGTAATATCGGTCTCTATTTTCCAAAAGCATATCATCAGCAACATTACGTGCTATCATTTCTCCTGTGTGATACTTTGTGTTTAAATCGGAGTTAATTCCTAATTTAACTTTAATATATAGTTTAGAGACGCTGTTATTAATAACGATAAAAAATTTTCCATTCAAAACGGAATTCGACTCAACGGTATAGCTTTAAAGAGCTATCCGCCCAGCAAGGGTGTTTGTTCAACACGACTGTCTGTTCTGTAGGAATGTCTGTTCTACAGGAGTGTGTTTTACAGACGTGTCTGCGCTACAGACGTGTCTGCTCTTCCAAAGCGTCCACTCTACTGAGGTGTTTTGTTCACAGAGGTGTCTGCTTTACAAAGGCAGCCACCCTACTGTGGTGTCCGTTCTACAAAGACGTCCGCTCTACTGACGCGTTTTCTTTACAGAGGTGTCTGCTCTACAATTGTCAGGAGTGTCTGCTCTACAGAAATATCTGTAGTAGAAGTATCTGTAAGTGCACCCGTTCTATAGGAGTGTCATCTCTACAGAGGTGTCTGTTCTACAAACGTGTCTGCTCTACAGAAATGCCTGTTCTATAACTGTATCCGGTCCATAGGGGTGTCTGTTCTACAGGTGTGTGCATTTTACAGTTGTGTGCTTTAAATAAAGTGGTCCGTATATATGTGCTTCACAAAAATTTTTTAATATATATGGATCTATATAGTAAATAATATTTACAGTTTAATATTTACTTTTTAATATTTACTGTATGAAGGGTATTAAAACTGCAGCAAAGCCCATTAATGTTTCAAATATTGTTTAATGATTTTTAAAAGATGATAAAATTCTAAATAAAATGTATATGGCAATAAAATCGTTATTTCTCTATCGTTATATATATTGAGAACAATGAGAAGCAAAACTTATTAAAGTTTAAATTAAATATGATATTATATATTTTGAATTTTTGTATACAAAATATAAGCAAAAATATGTATAGTTATATTACAAACTAATATATTTATCAAATCACGTTTTATTTTAAAAATATTAAATATTTTACCTTTAATTCAATTTATTTATAAAGTAAATAAAAAATCTAATTCTTAAATGCAATTACTTTATAATACTCCTATGTCTTAAGTATTCTAATTTATTTGATTTTATAAAATATTGAAATTTTTAAATTATGCCAATTCTTTATTAGATCTTTAACAAAAAAAATTTTAAAATTGTTGGAATATATTTTTATCAAAATATATTAATTGATTAAGTTTCATTTATGTACACATATTCTACTCTTTAGATTTGTTATTAAATATTTCAATATATAACAGAAAATAAAAAAAAATTTAAACAATTTGATTATAAGTTACAAAATAAATTAATTACAAATGTGCTTTTTTTTTAATGAAAAATTAATTGATTCTATTGAAGCCAACTTTTTAAAAATAAATTTTTTTTAATAATATTAAAAATGAATTTTTCTAAGCAAAATTAAATAATTTATAAATTTATAAATAATTTGTATTGAATTTTTTATTTCAATTAGAAATTAATAAATATTTAAATTTTTTTTATTTCGCTCACTAAAATCCTTAGCAAAAAGTTTTCTAAATGTTATCTCAAAATAAAATCGTTTTCATAAAAAACACTTATCAATTTTTAATTATTTTTTTCATACATTAATTATCACATAAATTATTAAATTTGTAAATTTATTAATTAAAATATATATCATAAATTTAATTTTTTGTTTTTCATATATTTCAATTATTAATAGCTACACATAATGCTGTTTTGTTTTTTGCAACGCCAAAAAAAAAAAAAAAATATAATTAAATAATAAAAATTAAGCGGTCCTTATTTTATTGTTATAATGTGTTATGTTTATAGCAATAATTTTTTCATCCTTTGTTATATAAAAGGTCAAAATTTAAACTACACACATGAAAAAATTAATGTTTTTTGCTATTGTTATTTAATATAAAAAAATTTAATGTAATTTATAAAAATTAAAACAAACATAAATATATAATAAAAAAATTTCAATTTGCTGTGCATGTAATTAATTGAATTGTATTTATCAATATATAAAAAAAAAATATTTGTATATGTCGTTAAAAAAATTTTTTAATATTTTTATTTTTTATTTATTTTTAAGTATGAAATTTAATTAAATTTCGGTACTTTATTTTTGATATTTAAATTTATCTAAAAGTATAAATTAAATAAAATTTTGAAATGAATTAAAATTACGAAAAAAACAAATTTTACGCATTAAAATTAATTTATAATTCAATTATAATTGTAGCTTTTGCTGTAACTGCAATGAATTAAATAATAATGCATACAAATTAAGAATTAAAAAATTTAAATAATATAATAAAGAAATTATTAATGCTTCAACATTTTTTTCAACTTTTGTTTTTCAATCTACAAAAAATAATTTTTTCCGTTACCATTTGTATGTGTAAAATGTGAAAT